AACAGTATATTCATTAATGCAATAATGTATATAACTTTTAATTTATTTAAATAAAATATGTTTTATTTATATTATTGTTTTTGTTAAAATAATATTTTTGATAGATATTAAAAATTGTAGTTAAATTTTTTCATAAACAATATAAAGTCAGTCTGGAAATTTTATTTATAACCAAAAATATGTTATTTTTATTGTTATTTGGTTTTGTTTTTCAAATTTATTTTTTTAATTTCAGATCTTTTATTTTTAAATGAAAAATAACTTGGTCAAATTAACTGATTGTGTTATTTATGCTCAGACGTTGAGTATAACAACAGAAAAATAAGCTGGCGTTTATAACAAGAATAAGGCAAACCTTTTATTATGTAAAGTATTAGACACAACAAGAGAAATACAGGACCAATTGACTATAATCAAAAAGATAATCATTTGTGTTAAAGACATCAAGAAAAAATTATGATAGCTTTAGATAAATATGAAATTATCGCCACATTTGCAACATAAATATAGACTTTCCCCAAATCTGGGTTTACTCAGATGATGAATAACGTGCATCTTGTTGTTGGAATGCCAGGAATTGAAGAGGTTAACAATGATGATAAATTTTGAAACTCAAAGAACTACACAGCCAAATTCAAACAAAAGTATAAATCTAACCATCCATCTGAATTACATCACGAAAAAATTATTTGTTCTTTGAGGGTTGAAAGTAGAAGTGTTGAAAAATACTCATTTTGAAAGGCAACACTTTAAAAATAATTCTAATAAACTCGGTTGTCTACGTTATTATCCCATGATTTCACGAAAAAATAACCAAAATATTGCCATTTATTGACAAACAGAATAAATGAAATGATTGGCTAAATGACTTAACATCATTTATGCTTTTGGTTTTGTTATTGGAAAATAGTTTAAATTATAGTATTTTTAATTAATCATCCCAAAATGCTTTTTTTCAAAGGAAAATAAATAAATAAGGTTTCCAGACTGACTTTAATATTATATTGTGAATTTTTTATATAAGAAGTTGAACTTATCATTTAAATATCGGGTTATATTTTATGTTGATTTATAACCTAATTCAACTTTTCGTTTTTGTTAATGTTGAAAAATAGAGTTTTTCTTTGTTGTAAGTAAAAAACAAAGAAAAAATAAAGTTGCACACTTGTTCGGAATGACTTTACATATCTATAATATTAATTAAATGATTTGAAGCAGTTAAATTACAGTTACTCGCGATTATTAACTATCACGGCCAATTCGATGACGCAGGAAATTAAGTAGCCAACGACGAAAATTGTGAACACTGTTGAGATAATGAAGAACACGAAAGAGACCAAAGCAATCGATCTTGCTTGAACGTCCTTGGAATTTCTATATTTACAATAGTCGACGAGCCACAAACAGCAGAGTAAAAATCCAAATCCAAATAAGATAGCAGACATCATCGAGTCGTTTTGATTTGTCACGTTCACTTTTTGTTCTGATTGATATGATGGCACGATTATTTCAGATTGGGGAATGAGCTGTATCGGCTGGACTGGCGCTTGTTGGTACTGTGGAGGCGTTTGAATTATTGGTTGGATGTATTGGGCGTATTGTGGTTGTTGTTGGTAAGTCATAGATGATTTTGTTTTAAATTTTTCTTACTATAAATATCAAATTGTAAATTTTAACGAAAATACTTGGTATTTAATAGTAAATTTTAATAACTTTTTATTATTATAATATAGTTTTGAATAATAACTTTACAAATTTCGATTTAAAACATTAATTGTTTTCATCGAAAATTTATTAAAGATATCAAAAACAAATAATTAATTATCGTTAACATAATTATTATACAGTTTAGTATGTCTTATATTAATTATTATCATTTTCTTTCAATGTAACCATATCAAATATTGAAAAGTAATAAAATCACTTAAATCATGATGATTAACAACATGAACATTGTCAGCGCTATTTTCATATGAACTGCAGCATCTTTATTATTATCAACAGTACACATTCTACACTCCTCATCAATGCATGGTGTTTCATAAGTTTCTTTACACTTCTCACATGTCGTTTGACTCTTGAAATAGCCACTTGGACACTCTTGCAAGCATTTGTTCTCAAAGTAAATATCAAACCCATTAACACATGTATCACAACTTGTTTTGTCCACACACATCTTGCAATTCTCAACACCACAATCTTCACAGTTTGGAGCCATCCCAAACTTCCCATCTCCACAGTCACTTTGGGGTGCATCACATGCCTTAGTAGATGCATTGAATATATAAGGTGACGGACATGTCAAACAAATGTCGTTCGCATCACAAGTCGCGCAATTCTTTGTTGAACATTTTGTGCACTGTTTGTTTGCTCCTTTTGCATATTCTCCATTTGGACACTTTGCAATGCAAGCGAGTTGATCTACTTGGACGACATTAGTCCCACTACACTTGTCACATTTAGTAGAATCAGTGTCACAGACCGAACATGAACTCACTGAACATGATACACACGTGTTATTATTAGAAGCAGTTTGGCCACTTGGACATGTCGCACTGCACTTTGTTTTATCAACTGAAAGTTTGTTGGTACCTTTACATGAAGCGCATTTGTTGGGTTCACTTGATGTGCATGTATTGCAATTGGCAACAGCACAAGCAGTGCACATGTTATTTCCACTCTCATATTCTCCAGCTGCACAAGACGTTGTACACTTTGTCTTGTCTGCAGATAGTTTATTATTTCCAGTACACATATCACATTTCGCATTATTTGTGTCACATGTTTTGCAGTTAGTTACAGTGCATTTGTTGCATACATTTGATGTCCCTGAGTATTCACCATCTGGACATTTGGTCCCACATGATTTTTTATCATAAGAAAGTTTGTAACCACTATTGCAGGAGTCACATTTAGTGGATGGATCTGTTGTGCATGTTAAGCAATTT